CATCGGTTTTAAATTCCAGGGGCCGCGACATCAATCAGAACGAATGGGGATTATCAATTTTGGAGAAAATCGGCTGGACTGTTTACGCGTTAGCGTTGTGCACAGACGGACGTTTTGCCGTCAATCGAGTTTTCGGTATGAAGGACGCACGAAACATGGATTCTGGCTACACACTACGTGTTAAAGGATTTTGTTTTCTGTATTGACCAACTGGATTTATCTACTATTTCGTTACCAGGGCCACGTACTAAGAGTTTTGTCTCGAAACTTCGCCGTTTTCCGGCGCACGATTACAAAACTTTTTATTACAAGTAAAAACCAGTTATAATTTGAAAAAGTAAAATTCAACCAAGTGAAACGAAGTGCCTTTGGTGTATATCTGCATTTATTTCGATAGCCAGGAACAGTAGTCATGTTTAACTTTTATAAATGAAATAACCATTATAATATTTAAATGTTATACAGTATTTGCAACACACAACAAATGAAGAATAATTCTCACAAGCTTGCCTTGATTACGTCGAAGTGAGCTAACAATTTTTGAATACCATAATCTGTGATCAAAACTTTCTGAAATACAAGTAATGCATTTGTCAGTTCTACGTTAAATATATACCTTCCTTAAATATATTTCCTATCCTTTCCCTATATTAACTTTATCTACATGGTACGATCATCACGACCAGCAAGAACGACAAGTATTCGAATATAATTTGAAACCATCGTCTTACCATTTTGCGAACTGACTGCGCGGGTAATTCGAATTTACAATTCCGATGTTTTTTCCAACTTCTAAAAATTCAAGAGTTCGCCGGAAATATGAATAGCGCCGCGTTCTTTACCGTCTTACTTTTCTTACGAAGAGAGAATTTAAAGAAAAAAAATGGCGCCGTTATTAAGAAAAAATGTTTAATATAATCAAAAAAGTGTCTTCATTCGATGCGATCACGCGAAAACGACACAAACTTTCAAAAAATTGTGCATGAAAATGCATTTTTTTTTCAAAATCTGTCTTTAAAGAACAGCTTTCATTAAGTAAAAAAAATATAATCAATATTTCAGTAGTAGAAAGTTGCCGAAGAAAATGGAATTGAGACTTGCACCATTGTCATAAGCGGTTTTTATGCTCACAATTCAATCAAAAAATTTGAACCCTGTTTTGAAAATGCCCTACACGCTTTATGCAAAGTACCTTCCCCCGGATTAAAATGTATTCGAGTTCAACAGGCCGCGATATCAGCTAGATCGATTGGTGAATATAGATTTTGGAGAAAATCAGGAGAACAGTTTAGGCATCAGCGTTGACCACACGGGCGAACGTTTTGCTGTCAATCGATTTTTTGTTATCAACAACCCACTGTCGAAAATTTCCCGTTTTTTCAGCAGCATTACAACACTTTCTCTATTCTGCCTAAGCAGTAGCCAAAAAATAGTTTTATTTAAATTTTCTCTATCAAAGATGATTTAAGAGTTTGTCATAGTGGTTGGTCTGATAAGTTTGGATAATTGATATTCTATTGTGATTTTCACCCTCAGCCCAGCAAACTTCATGTAACTAATACAAATGTTAGTGACCTTCAGAAAATGTAATTTACACTGAATGGAACATCCTATATATGCATTTCTAAAAACAGTAAAAGAAGTAAAAAGCTTCAAGCCTGTTTTCATTGTATGGAACAAAGTTACAATAACCCACTGAGTGGATTCCTGTGAGTTGTCAATGTTTCTTTTGAGCTGTTGGTCAGAGTGCACTAGTTTTATTAAACCATAGACCATTTGGTAGGATCATAGGTTTTATTTTCAGAAGATTTCAGAAACATAACTGCTTGTTAATAGAGCATAACAACCAGACGAATCTGCAACATGCATAAAAATATCAGTGATATGGAAATGTTACATCTAACAGAAAACATGAGAGCCATTACAAAAAGTGTAGTATTCCCATTGTTTGTTTTTTTCTTCTGCTTATGGGGGAAATAGAACATAATGGTATTAGGGTAATAACTTTACCTACAACTCTTAGTGAAGTTGTCAAAGAACAATACTTATTAATCAGAGATATGTACATCCAGACAACTTAACATTAAAAAAAAAATTCTTGGTTGCGCAAGAGGTCAATTTTAATACTGAAAAATGATAAAATAAATTATATTACAGTGATAATCCTTCAAAAATTCTGAGACATGCACAAGTCATAATAATACATATTGATAGAATATGTAATCAAGATGAGGCAGTCCACTATTCCATAGATGAGCAAGCCCCATTGTAAGATACAGCTAAATATCAGAGTACTCTTCCTATTACTTATAAATGCAAAGCTACCAAACCATGGTAATATAATCTATACGAAAGTCACTACTTTACAAGGAAATATATCGAGTGAAGCTCTTATTCTTACTGGCTGATCAAAAGGAGAAAAAAGTTTTCAAAGAGATCAAATAATACTAAGAAACAACCTGCTGAAGTTCAAGACGACAAATTGTGTTTTTTAATGAATATCAATAAAGCACAATGGCAGATGTTTTTTACAGTAGGTAGGATTTATAGTACAGTAGGATTTATTTAAAAGTAGCTTTAACTATAGGTGTTTGTAGCATGCTCTATAATGAGTGATTCCCAAACGTATTGGTCTTTGCTCTTCAATGTAAACCCGAAAACAGATAATTAACAAGCGTCACTCTAAATTTCATTATAATATTAATGTAAAAATTGTGAAATAATTACTTTCACATTTTATTTCAACTTTTTTTATTTAAACTGTTTAAATTAATGCAAATGGAAGTTGCAGGTAGTCGGTAACTCATTTCACTTTTGAACATAGAAAAAACATCAGTTCTGATTTGCTATGCATGTGCAATTTTTCAGTAGTAGTTTAAATGTTCAATACTTCGCAGAATTAATCATTTTTTGATGCACATTTGGTCAATTCACTGGATGGAAATGTATACTAGATTTCTGTAAATTGCCTTGTTGTATACCAAAAAGTCTAGTTTATTTTAAAAACATCAGTTATAAAATCATTTTCACTGCACAATATGGTTACAAATAAATTAAAAGGGTTTTTATACCCCCTTAGTTATTTACAATATCCTAGAATACATTTCTACCCAATGAATTGATCAAATGTGAATCGACATTCGTCTGCAACTCTTCTAACAGGTTCCACATGTCTGCTCACTAATACAGGATTCTTTGGTTGTGACACTACCAACAAGTAATGGCCAAATAATTATCAAATCATGGTATTATATAAATTTACATGTAAAGATGTGCATTTGCAGTTTCTGCTGTGCATTTCAATATAAATTTTCCTAAAGTTTGGAAGATAAAAGAAATAAAATATCAGTAAGCTTCATATTTTCTACCCAAGTTCTCATCCAAAATAGATTTCAAATAACTTACTACAGTTAAATAAAATGAGTATTTGATACACATATAAAGGAAATTAATTGAAATAATAAAATATTGTGTCAGCATTGTTATGTAACATGCAAAAATTAAAAGAATGTAGAAACTTAGTTATGGTAGAAAGGGTTTGAATAGGAACAAGCTTAACTCCAGCTCTACATCACAGGAATTTATTGTCTAACAGTTAATCTCTTTCATTATGTATTTAAAGGAGAAATGTACTTTAAGGCAAATAAAACACTGTTGTGGCAAATCATATGTATTGTACCTCCAATATTAAGTCTTACACAAGAATCTCACAAACAACACTTGTCTCCGACTTACAATATTTCAATCGAAACTTTATTGATCACACATGCTTTCAGTTGCAGCAAGTGCACATTATGTCATTTTCAAGGAATTCAGTCATTTCATTTAATATTCTGAGCCCTACATATCTTTGCCATTTACATGCAAATAACATTAAAAACATCTTAAATACAAAATTAACTCGCACTTCTAACAAGTAAAGATCAGAACTTCACACTCAATGTTAGGAAATTAACTAAGTTCAACCTCTACCAAAAATATATTATGCTTTCTTGATACAATTCTCAAAATTAACAACTTCATTACCACACCAAAGGGGTATTTCCATTACACCTTTACAAATTCAGAATAAGCATGTCTCCTCTACAGGGTTCAATGCTAGAATTGCAATGAGCAGAAATATTAACACTAATACGAGTCAGTAGTCTACTTCTTACGACTTAGACAAACTGGTCCTACATTATCACCAGTCTCTCGATTATAAGGTGTATGTGAACCATCGCAGTAAGGAAACTGTAAAACAAAATAGTAAATCAATTAGTACATTAATGAAAAACAAAACAAAAAACAAAAAAAATATTTGCATTATTTACATTTTTGCTTCTCCAACACCGACAAAATGCCACTTTGTCCCCAATATCTTCTAGGTCAAACATATCAACAACCTTCTCAACACTTTTCTTAATATTGGGGTTTACTGCAGCCTTCTGAAAAAATGAAAAGGAATACTGGATTATGTTTCCTCGAATAAGTGGTTGTTGAATGCAAGAACACTAATAACGTTTCATTAACTGTACCTTTTGATCTGGCCGAGCTCTTGGGCAAAATGCTTTATATGTCAAATATGTTACTCCACCTACTGCAGCAGCCAAAGGAATAAGAGATGCCCAGTCACGAACTGAGAGAAAAAGAAATCCACATGCTAAGGTTAATACCCTCTATACATATATAGCTCACTAGCAATTGAAGACGAGCAATATATGAGAAATTGTTTTCTCAATAAAAAAGGCAATACCTCCAAGACGGAACCATCCACCTACACTATCTGGTATTGGAAGATTCGACAAATAGTTGGGCACTGTTACTCGGATAGTGTTCGACAACGGCTCCATGGCACCCGTACAACTAAAGCCAATACAAAACCTACAACTTAATTAATTCGTGGCAAAAATAATTCTTTGATGTCTCCCTCCCGTCAATAATAAAAAAGTATTCCTCCAATTTACATTTCCAATAGAAAATGATTCTAGCACAATCACTATGAACAACTGTTACGTAAATAATGAACTTTATCTGAGGAATATGCACAATATGCACGATAGCCAACTGTACCTGCTAAAGATTTGTCTTGATTTATATCGATTTTATATAAAAATAGTATAAGGACATATGTCTTCCTATCAGGATTTTGGTATTGTACAATGTTAGTCCTATTCTTCAGATTAATTGGAAATACTGCTTAACAGGTACTGAAAATATACACACAATAATTACGTAACTTTTTATCATCACATTATGCGATGGATGTTTTTTAATGCTCAATGACCCCAAATAGATGTATTAATGTGTTTGTGTGAAATTATAAAATAAAACCAAGGACTGAGCGCACCTAACCCGCACACTTGCTCTACTTATGGGAAATGAGAATTAGAGCATACATTTTTTGGGGTCCCTGATCTGGGTTAAATCACCAATCCCAAAGTATTTTGTTAAAAATAAGAAATAACTACTTCATGATACCAAAAGGTTGATCTAATAGATATAGTACTGAAGGTAGGACAATCTACATGTTTGTAGAAATCAGAACCACTGATCTCTATTTAGAGATAGTGATGATCAAGTAATCTTAGTGGACGTCATGGACTGTGTAACATTAGTAAAAAACGATCATTAATGAATTTGACGATCACAGAATCGTGGTGGATAAGTAGTATTGAATCAATTCGGTTATAGTAATATTGTAAAGCAATTTGTGCTCGTGACCACTTGCGCCTGTCACCCAGCTATTACCCGACAGTCAGCAACAGTCCTGATGCTCCACTTGTATCATATACGATTTGATTGGATGTCATAGAACTTGTAGTACAGAATACACACAATTCGAAAATGGTTTTGTGCAAATTCGGAATGAAATGTTAATGAAGATTGACAATATAGATCGGAAAGGTGAAAAGTCAGAAATAATGAGGATGGATTAATTTTTATGCGGGTTGTATATCTAGTGGAGTACATTTCACACTTTTAGTTTTTATACTGAGTATTTTATATAGTTTATATTGTATTATACACCAGCGTATTACGAAGAATGGAGAGTAATTTTGTGCAGCAAAATTCGAGTGGAATTGCAATACGGTCTTCTATTACGTAAGGACAGTTTTTCCAAGCTTTCATTATCAAAAGTCAAAACTTCAAAATGTTGTGCAAAGTGTTAGACGAAATATTCTTTGGAGACACCTGGAGAAGAGCTATCTAGCGAGGGCAGTCAAAACCAACAATATTGGATATTGCCAATACTGCCATCTTGCGGGAAAATATCAAACCACGTGATCCTGATTGTCGCGCTATCTTTGTGTTCTGCAATCTATGGAAGCTGTAGCCAGTCAACGGAGGAAACATGGCTGAAGAGTTGTTGGTGGTTTTACGGAGGAGTGATTCGTGTGGTTTAGGGTTTTCCTTGCTCGGGACAGCTGGCTTACCGCCGATAATCTACGACATTGTTGAGAATTCCCCTGCTGCTGAAAGTGGTGAGGTAAGACACCTTATAATTTCATTATATAATGAATAACCACGCATGGTGTTGCGCTCCCTCAGTTCTGACGTTTGCGATGCACCGCAATGTTGTCCTGTCGCGATTGGATTTTGATTTTGTAATGTAACGAACCGTTTTAGTGCAGGTAGCCAGCGAATTTTCTGGGACTGTACCGTTGTGTAGTGAACCGCTTGACCGATATTTTTGTAGTGTTTTATCTTTCTAGGCCGTGTTGAATGTGCGATATTTTTCAGTGTTTTTAAAGAGAATTTATCATAAAGATGTAACGGATTGTGTGTAATTTGTGTTATCGATTTACACACGCGTTCATTTGAGTGATGCACTGTTCACGGTGACAGCATATTGCAGCAGAATGCGCTAAATATGGATTTTTTTTCGTTTGTGTTGGCGATGTAGTTCCGGGCCGATTTCTCACCTGCCCCAGCGAGAGCACAGGAGCTCACACCCTCGTCTCGCGTGCTGAGGGGCGATCTGCACTGTGCGTCACCTCCTCACACCACACCCACCTCCCCGCTCCGCCCCCGCTCCCGCTCCCACCCCACCCATCACAGCCACACTCACACGGGGACTGGCCTGCTGTTCTTGCACACCACCCGCGCTCCGCGCTCCTTCCCACCACGCGCACCCATCGCTCTCACGGTGATCACGCACCACGCTCGCCCCCGGGGCACGGCGTGCGCCCCGCGCCCCGGGCGGCGGGTGGCCAGCGGGGGGAAATGTGAAATTTGGATATTTCGTGGTCGAAGTGAAATGCTAGGCGAGAAATCCGTTTTAGGAAAATGAAAGTTGAAGCCGAACTCGGGAGTCGTGTTCCATTTTGCTGTCAGCTGACCGCCTATTATTAATTTCCGTTTCACCAAGTGACCATAAGATTCACCCAGTGGATGTGAGAAGTTGCTTTTCCAAGACAAATGAGATACACCTCCAAGCAATGAGATCATAGCTAGTTTGTAGGTAATAAAAGCCATCCCATTTGATACTGATAAAATGTCAGATAAATGACTTGTATGGACCTTTTGTTAGTGCTTTCAAAAATTGTCCATGAAAAATATTTAATGTACGCTGGAAAGCTTCATTTCACAATGCTTTAATATCATTTTATTTACATGAATGAATTTCAACGTCTTTGTTATTGTTGTCGTTTTAACGTGCATTTTCAGAACGTTATCATTTTAGGGGAAATAACGAAATTTCTGATAACATTTGATTTAATATTCACGAAATAAATGTTGCGAGGTGTTGCCAATTGTTCAGCTGTTTAGTGAACCTGTATTATGATCAAAATATTAGTAATTTATTCGTTTTATTATTGAATAGTGGATTTTTGGCATGTTATCTTGAATACATACAAATTATCTGTTGTTCCTAAGTAGTTCGGTTTGGAAGTTGATTTTTTGTTTTTTATGGTACAGTGAAATTTTAATCTCGAGGAGAATGTAATTGCTGTGTCTTTATCGCGAACTCGACATGTACACAAATCTGGATCCATGGGTTAGGGGTCTTGATCTGATGTGTCATTCATTATACAGAAAACCCACGTTAACATGTATTATAACAGAATTTCACCATACACGAACAAATACTTGGGTCTCAGGAAAAAACATACATGCAGTTTATAATATATATATATATATATATATATATATAATATATATATATATTATAATATATATATATATATATATATATATAAATCGAGTAACAGGAATATTTATCATCATTCATTGTGCCTTGAAATCGTGTTTACAGGGTTTTACTATGTTTCAATTTGTTATGTCAAACCCTGCCTCAGTATCGTGTCGCGAGACTTCTCCCCATTTCCACGATCGGTAGAGTAAATGCTGCGGTGGTCCTTGGCTTTGTTTTCTGGCAGTGACGTACGAGATAAATGGAAGGAAGCAGGGGAGGCAATCTGATTATTCGCTGCCTCGCGTTCGCATCGACGCACGAGACCCGCTCCGCCTCCGGGTCGCACGTGCCACTGCCGCCTCGGGCCTCCACCTCCGCCCCAGCTCTCGCTCGATGACCGTTTGCCGTTGGACGTAAACGTTGACTTGACGTTTGTACAATTTTTGTACAGACAATGATTTGATTTGTACTTTCCGGCTATTGCTTAGGCAGTGTAGAGAATGTTATGTAATGCTGCGGGGGGAAAAATTGCGAGTTTTCGCCAGAAAACAATTTTTTCACCTTCAGATTACCTTCGTCTTGATTTTTTCGACGACGACAACAACAACAACAACAACAACAACAACAAAAAAGCCGAATGTTATTTGTGTTTAGAGCTACGAAACTACAGTGTTAAGAGGTTTTCATCGACGAGTTAGTTTCATTGACAAGTCCCTAGAGGCGTATTTAATTAAGTAGTCCTTCCCTATTCCGTGAAGTAGGCAACCCACATTGGATCTAGGCGAATAGAGGACAGGGGAAAGACCGCCGAAGCGGCCCCCTTGTTGGTGCGTGGGGCGCGACTAGCGATGCCGATGGGAATAAGTGAATCTGGAGCGGGGAACTCGCGTTGCCCCTTTAAACGGAGCGTGGCGCGGCGCGACGGGGAGGGAGAGGGAGATCGGGGCACGAGTGGAAGGCCGCCAGACTCACATTTTTGCCCATTCGCTACTTCATCCTGCTTGCTTTTCCTTACATTTTCTTTTATCGAATCTTTTCTCAATTTTATGAAATTATTTATTTATTTTTGTACAAGAGTTGGAGGGGAAGAGAAACAGTATCAGCTGATTTCCTGCATACACATAGCGAATTGCGACTGTCCAACCACAGAATTTTGTTGCATTTGTTCCTTTTTAACCTTACCCTAAAGTGTCTTGATAAATATAACGAACGGTACGAAACAAATAATTTATCACGAGCTACTTCAAAACGAAATGTGTTTTTTCCTGTTATTTATTGGCTTTAATGCACCACTTAGTTGTACTCGTTTTACCTATAAATATGTTACATGCGATGATTCGAATATAAATAAATGTTTTAAAACTAAAATTATTGCAGACTTAATATATATTAATAATACTTAACCATACATAGAGTTGTAGGCTAGTGTAGTACCCAGCGTTGTCCGGGTATTTATCATCATTTTTTAGACAGAGGACTTCAATCTATTCCCGCCCTGAGGCGGAGCCTATTTCTATTCTATTGTATCTCCGCTCCATCCTGGCCTTCGTCCCATCTTTCTCACTGACTTTCTCTCTAAGAAGAGTATTAATTTTTTTTTATTATTGGGGGTTCCTGCTCCCAAACTTTACTACCTTTATAACTAAAAATATATCCAAAAATGTCATAATAATGCTTTATTTAGAACTTAACCAATAACTATTTCATATTGAACACATGAATGCATTGCTGCATATGTCACGCGCAGTTTTCTCGACAATATAAAGCACAGCCAACAGCTAAATGACTTCTTTCTAATAATTTAATATATCTATTACAATTAATAAATTCACGCTTAGTTTCAATTCAAATCAATATCCAAGTTACTTTTGTAAGAGAAGAAAACGGTCATTTTAAATATAAACCCTCCGGATTTGTCACTTGAATGGTAAAATAAAGTACTCTCCTTCCTATACAAATGCAGTTATGTGCATTGATGAATTCAATTGTAGATCTTAGTCGTCATCCTGTAGCGCGCTACTACACTTGGATTCAAACATAGTCCGTTGACGTAAATCAGCTGTTACGGTGTTATCCAATCGGGAACTTGGATGACACTACAGTAGTGACGTTTGTGCTCCCGATTGGATGACACCGTAACAGCTGATCAAATGTCAACGGACTCTGTAAATAGATAGAACTATAAACTATTGCACTTTGATGCACTCTTGAATCTGTTATTGTAATGCTACGCGAAAATCCCAGAAAAAGTAATTATTTTGTAAATAAATATATTAAGATTTATGCGTCTAAATCATAGCTTGCAGTACACTGTCAGAAATGTCTTTAAATCTAATGCAGGCTAATATTGCCTATGAAACTTAATGTGACATTACTTAATATATTTGCACATTAAATTTAATGCAAAAGTTAAAATCAGTGTTGATCTAATGTAGAGGTTCTCCCGTTTTCACTGCCTATCATTCACATAGTATATACATTCACCAGTACATAAACATAATTCCTTCTTTCCTGATATGACCATAAAGCTTTTCCCGTTGAATCCTATTGTACGCTTTAAAGTTAACTTGCATTCATGATAATTTATTGTATTTTACTTGAAAGTAATGCGGAAATTTCTGACAATGTACTCCTGATCTTCAATGAAAACTAGTACAAAAGTTTCATGAATATTGGTTGAGTACATTTAGAGATTTTGCGCTGTAACTCAACGCAGTTCTCTATATCTTAGTGTAGAGATAGATAATATATATTATATAAAATAAATTATAAATAATGATTAAATCGTATATAATTGGTGTAATTAGTTGGTACCTGTATTGAATAATGATTTAATATTACGATTTCTGTATTGAAACTTAATGAACTAGTGGTGCTACAGAATGGCATAGACCTTCTCTTAGTTCTGTTAGTTTTCTATCTCTCTAGTGTGAACTTACATTTCGGTTTTGCCCGAGTTTTGCTCTTAGGATATTTTTTCAAATTACCTCAATTTTTCGATCCTCTAATGGTAGAAATGAAATACAACTATAAAGAATATAATAGAAGAGTAAAACCCAGTCATTTAAGCACATTTTTGTTGAAAAAATTGAAGCCATTTTAGAGAAAAGGTCGTTTGAGTGTTTCTAAAAACGCGAAATTTTGAGCTCGTTTTCACAGAAAACTTTTGAATTTTTGAGAATGGAAATTGGAAATCACTTAAAGCACGTCGCCACATAATTGCAACAATGTATGAAAATGTCCATAATTAATATTAACGACGTGAGGTATGTTTCAAAAAATTATATTTATGAATTTTAAAAAATATAAACAATAAATAAAAACTGTGTTAATGTAATGTACATTAGTTA